CTTAATAATTAATTGAGGAGGTTTTTATTGCTCGTTTCCACTGGCATCTTCCTCTGCTATTCTAGGAAAAATTGTCATGTTCCGAGTGGGCCTGGTACTCCTCGAACGCTGTTTTGGAAATTCGTCCTACCGGAAGTCCTGTGAAGGCTTAGACGATGTCATCATGCGGGCCCAAGAAATTACCTCAAAACTCGACAATCCGGATGAGTTGGTTCACGAGGTAAGTTATGTGTGACTGCGAGGACGTAGTTCTCAGGTGTAGTCTGGCTCTTTGGCCACGTCTGTTGCCCTTCGGACTGTTTTATTCCCCTTAAAAATTAACCCACGGTGCCTTATGTGTTGTTTTTTCTCGCAGCTGTTGTCGCAGAGAGACCTTTTTATCACTTCTGCAGTTATTCTGCCATAACTGATTAATTCCAACTGAAATGTTCGTATTAACTTTCGGGTCGAACGTGAGAAAGTTCTTTTCGAAATTTTTTCTTCACGTTCGCACATCAATTTTCCCGGAAACTGGAGATAATTGACGAGAAAGCACTCAGGGTACACTGAAGGATCCATGAATGGGTCGAACCGCTCGCAGCTGTGTCGTGCAGCTGTACAAGCCTAGAGAACCTCGCGTGTCTGGGCCTTTACCTAATACCTGTGCTTTCAGTGTGGTAAATAATTAAGTATTTTGACCGTGCTTTACTTCGTCTTTTAGTGCAAACTGTTCTAGCGTCTTAAGAGTACCATAGTGGAACTTGTGAGGCATTATCTGCTTGAGTCATGGTTTACGGGCCCTCAATCCATCAACAAATGCAACGATTTGCCCAATCCATATTCGGTGCTGAGACTAAATTTGGCCAAAGCATGTCACCGCTCGGGAAACAGACAGGCCACCACATCATCCTATGCCAATACCGCAGGGCCAGATGGTCATTGCTGACGCAACGAATCAGCGCACACTCAAGGCATTTGTCGGTTTTTTTCTGTACTTTGAAATTTTGCGGCAAAACCCTGTGCACACGTAAACTGTTTCTGCTACTGTTCTGCGAGTATGTCTCTGATGGTGAATCCGCGATGGATTTCGAAACGTCAGGCGACCAAACATATTGTTCCAGCGTTCGAGTCGTCTTCTTCTCAATTACTTCCTGGGACTCGCATGTTCGCTTGTATCAGCAAATTATCTGCTATTCTAGTGAGTCCTTAGGTAGAGAGTTGGTATATTAATCATCTTAAGGCATAGCCGTAAGATGCCGCGGTCACACCAGGCTGTCGGGTTTTAATACAGTCACCTGCAACATCCCACCTAAAAAGAAACCCACTTAGGCAGTATCAATTTGCTATATTTACTTCCAGTACCTTCTAAAGAAAGCGTATTTTGGCAAGCATGCACAACACTTGAAGTATGCTTATTTTCTGGTAAATTTCGTCCTCGTGAAATGTCTACCCGGTTTCTTGTGTTATTAGAAGGGTAACAATATTTTATAGGTAACACCACGCCCTTGTTTACTTTGTGTAACTGTCTACTTATTTCCTATTAGTAGGCATGTTTTACTACTTTGGCGTCGGTTGTGTTACTTATTACAAGCGTAGGGCATAGTCCATCCACGGAAATCTAAAAAGTCGTAACTCCTTACTTATTTTTAATCTGACCTGCCGTTGCGCCTGAGTTCAGCGATTTCCAAACCATTAACTCTAGAATCGTCACTTGTATACATGGACATCGGGCATGTAAGAAAATATAATTTCAAAATTTTCAGCAAGAAACGTCCTTCATTTAGAAGGAATAAAATAAGCCACAAAAACTCACAACACCGTGAAATCAAAAGTAATCCATAATCGTCAATGACTGCAATTTTCGAAATCGTGGATAAATGTCCTTGGAAAGGCCTTAAAATATGGGCCAAATTGGTCTGTTTTCAAAACGGCTCTAGCGTAGTGACCTCGTGCATTCATAACCTCATTGTAGTTCAAATAAACAAATGGGAATAAAAATCGTTTTTGGGCGAGGAAGGCCAAATTACGTATACATAAGAAAATTTCATTCGAATGGGGAAGGAAAATTGCGACTCAATTTAAAAAGCCCTCCGAATGTAAACGATAATACTAAACAAACGGATAAAGTGCTGGTAAATCGGCATCCTAAGAAGTATAATTCGGTAGGAGTTCTTTGGGAAACAGTGGTTTATTGTGCTATTTAAATAAGCATTTCGCGGTTTAAATCACACTTTAGGGAGCAAAAAATAGCATTCTTTGAGTAAACTAATTCAATGAAGGCGTAATTTGCTATAAGATAAGGTCAAGGATTGAGTTTTGCGAGTTTGAACACCCAAGGTCGCTGGTAAACCCTATCCCCACTTAGGTAGTCGTTTATTAACAACCAGGACTCTTCAAACGGCCGACAATATGCGTATTTAAAAGTTGGCACCCTAACGTAGCTGAAGCATCTTAGGCGAGATTATTCTTAATGCTCATCAATGTTAAAGCGCCATTTAGTTACTCCTTTCCAACCGAGTTAATATTTCAGACATTTAACGATTTTTGAGATGTGTTACTTACTGCAGTCACCCTATGAGCAAACTATTTGTCAACCTATTCTGCCTTGAGTTTATTTCACCCGACCGAACCAAAGGTGATGTATTGTACTCATCTTTCCATCGCATCTTCGCTTACTTTGATCCGTGTTGAAGTAGCTTTGGTCTGATGAACTTTCTTTTGGATGCGTAGAACATATTTTTACGTAATTGAAAAGTTCAGTTATGTTTTGTAGATGCAATTCCAGCAGTGGCAAAATATTACCGATATTTCGGTGAGGAAGAAGAAGGGTCGAGCACCGGATCACGTTGTTTATTATTCTGAGC